ATAGAATAACTTTATTTATAATTTTTATTTTTTAATAAATAAAAATAAAAACAAAAATAAATACTCCGTCCGTCCCACTAAGATTGGGACAATTTGATTTACGATGTTTGACCGACGATAAAGCAAACAGATCCCTGTCCGCTCTCAAATTATTTTTAGGATTTTTTTTTTACATATTTAGAAATTATAATAAAAGCTTTACAAAGTCGCAAAAACGTGAATCAAATTTGATATATAACGTAAGAGATTAAGAGTGATTTAATGATATTCTTTTTAGAAAATCACTACCTCCGTCGCACTATTAATGTGATATGAGAAGGTGTGACTATTAAGAAAAGTCAGTTGTTGTGGTTAATATTAAATTAATAAATTAAAAATAATTTAGAACCACATAAATATTAACAAATTTAGTATGAGGCAATCTTATTAAGATAGATAAAAAAGGAAAGATGGGAGAATCTTATCACGATGAAATGATTATAAAACCAAAAAACTACTCCTTCCGTCCCAATTTGTAAGATACATTTCGATTTACGATGTTTGACTGGACATAAAGCAAATTGATCCCTGACAACACTCAAATTAGTTCTTGAAAATAAAATTAATATATTAAAAAACTACATTAAATCCGCTACAAAACCTGCAAAAAATAATTCAAACTTCATAAATTTTTGATATATAAAATAAAAGATTAAGAGTGATTTATGTTGACCAAGTGAATAGTAAATGTTTATTACAATTTGGGACTGAGGGAGTATAAAATATGTGAAAATAATATTTATATATTAAAAATATTAATAATATTGATAATGTTATGAATCTTTCACAAATATTCTTTAGCTTATTAGTATAATAAGCTAACATGTCCAGCTGGCACTTCACTAGATGTTCATCTCGTCCATGGTTCGAAACCTTTGGGGCTAGAGTTTTTATTTGACCGTTTTTGGCAAAAACCAGGTGTGGGAGGGAATGAATGCCCACGTGTTCTACTTTGAAAGTGAAAGAAAAATAAAAAATAAATATGAGAGAGAAATGAAAGGATGACCTGTTATTGAAGGTCACATTTGGGTGTTTTGACTCAATTGATTGTTTTTTGAAAGTAGATAGGTCTATATGATGCTTTTTATAGTACATGGGTCTAAGTGACCGATTTGCAATAGTACAAGGGTGTATTTGACTCTTTTCCCCCCTTTAAAGTAAATCATTCTTTAAGGTAAATGATTGTTGGTCAATGTTTAAATATGCTATAAAAGATTGGATTGATTTCAAATACACAAACAATTATAACCAAAATTCCCTAATTTTAGTCTATACTTACTCAAATTATTCTTAACACATAACTATACATTGGTATACATTTCAATTTCAATTTCTATGGTTTTTATCTTTATTTGTTCCTAAAATGTTCCTAATTAACTGTACTAAAAAATTTAACTAATTGTAGTTATAAAAAGTTCTTTTTATATTCAACTATCATGTAAATTTTCCTCTTTGTAGTATTACTTTTTCAAGTCACTTTTTATAGCTTCATTGGGCACAACTCGCACGTAGTGCGCACAACGCTGGTATATATATAATATATAATATATAATATATAATATATAATATATAATATATAATATATAATATATAATATATAATATATAATATATAATATATAATATATAATATATAATATATAATATATAATATATAATATATAATATATAATATATATAATTTGTGTATACCATGTAATTTATGTATTACACTTAAGTTTTGGGGAAATTCAACTTTGCACCCCATATGTTGGCTAATATTTGACTTTGCACTCTATTTTTAACATTTTTAATGTATGCGCCCATTTCACTATAAAATCGTTTAAGTTTGCACCTCACTTCTTCATAATTTTGGGGTTGGAAGGATGCAAATATTAATGATTTTGAAAATGGGGTGCAAAGTCAAATCTTTGTTCTAATAATATTTGATATGATTTGTATGTTAGTGATACTACTTGGGAAGAATAAACTTATTTGTTTAATATTACGTCTGTCCATTAAAATTTTGCCAAGTTTGGCTGGCACAGAGAATAATAAAGTAAAAGTTGTGGGGTTGAGATTTGTGCTGATGAAGAAGGAAATAAAAGAAACCACAAAATAATTGATTAAAAAGAAAAGTGACAAACTTTTTTGGAACGTCCTAAAAAAAGATGATGAAGTGTTAAAGGACGGAGGCAGCAATATGGTCACCCACGGGGATTCAAAGAAAATTGTTTTCTGTGTCAACCAGGTGCAATTCAGGAGAAAAATTCTTCAACGGGGAACATGACAACTTCGGGAAAATATTTCACTAACAAGATGGGTACATGTGTGAATAGGGGAGAGCAAAATGGGTTGGTTTAACCGAACCGTACCAAACCGATCTAACTCAAACCGAAACCGGACCGTATGCAATTTGGTTTGAGTTTGGTAGTATTTCTTCCAAACCGTATTAAATCGAACCGAACCGAAACCGATAAAATTGAACCGAACAAAAGAAATTCAAAAAATCCTTCATATTTTATTAAAAAATAAAATATCCAAACCGAACCGAATGAAACCAAACCAAACCGAAAAATAGTACTCCGTATAGTTTTTGTTTGGTACTAATTTTCATAACCCGTTCTAAATCGAACCGAATCGAAACCGATAAAACCGAACCGAAGAGAGATATGCCCAGCCCTAGGTCTGAACATATCCGATCCCATCCGTCTGGTTGCCATCCTTACCGGGGAGACAAAAAGGAGGGTAAAAATTTGGAAAACTACTTATATGGCGAAAACAATCCAATTAAAAACGGTGTCCTAAATACAACTCGAAATATGCGTCAAGCTTGAGAAATATACGGATCCGACAGGCGCACCATTACGGACGAGTAGAATCTATTGTTTTATATAGTAAAACTGAGTATTGAAACAATGATGTGTCACTCTATGATTGGCTAACAGATATAATAATTAACATCACTTTTATAACATTTAATTAATTTAACAATTCTTTAGGAAAACGTGCTAACTTATAATGGAGTAGTTGCGAATTCTTCTCCTTCACATCATTTAAGATGTAAATCACATGTAATTAATTGATAGTTCTAGATAAATACTACAAATAATCCGTCAGGGAAAAAGGTTAGTAATTGTAGGACTCTTCTCCATGACATTTAATTAGCTGACAATTCTAGATAACTAATACAAATACCTTCTAGATGATTTATAACAATATTATGAATATTATGGGACCCCACCGTAGGTGGGGAACCTTTGCGGCACTGGGGTAAATGAAAATGATATATTATGATATTCAATGATATTACTGTATGTAAGACGTTTTTACTTGGACTGGCCTGGTCTGGTCTGATTTCTTTGTATTTTTATAACTACCTAAGTTTGGTCTGGTCCGGTTTCTTTATATTTTTATAACTACCCAAGTTTGGTCTGGTCTGATCTGGTCTGATCTGATTTGTTCTGGTCTGGGTCAAATTACAGTCCAAGTAAAAAACATCATTAACATTCAAGTATTGAAGTCCAGTCACAAAAAAAATGTTTTAAACGATGTTTCAGTCAATTAGATGAAAAATAGCTTAAATAGTCCTTTTCGAAAGTTCCAGCTAATTAAGTAATAAAAATAACTTTAACCCTACCTATTTTGATTATTACGCAATTTAGTATACAAATAAAAAGTTACAAAATAGGCTCTAGATTTATTTGATAAAAATATAACTAATAATACTAAAAACTGTAAAAGAGGAGCTACAAAATGAGCTCTAGATATATTACACATTATGATGCACTTTTGCCATTTAGTCATTTTTTGCAACTTAAATATTGTAATTTAGCTACAAAGTACAGAGCAGAATCATAATCAGTTAAATTAATATAACCAAACATAACATAGTAGAAAATGTATATTTATTATAGAGTGTTTGCAATAACTTTAAAAAAATGTTTTTCAGTTTTTGTCTTTAAAAAAATTACAATTGAAATGAGTGTTTTCAGGTGATAATTTCTGTCAAAATTAAGCAATTACAAGTTAAAAGTTGGATGCCTATTGGGAGGTGCTTTAAACCGTCTTTTCATTTTTTTTTTCAGAAATATTTTTACCAAAGATTACTAAACTTTTACTCTTAAAAAACACTTTTTTTCTTACACGTAGCTACCAAATTTTACTTTAAAAAAATCTCACACACTACCAACTTTTAATAATATTTCACATTTTTTCTAAAATAACTTTAAAAATCATTTTTAAAGTAGAAGCGATCGCTAACACTCCCTTAATATTGAAACTTGCCAATTGCCATGGGACGTTTGCAATATGTACATCTATTCCTTTTTATATTAAGGTGCATGAATATATTGACAACGTATAGATTATTCAATGTAGGAATTCACTGTAATCGAAGACGATTGCTTTCATTGTTAACTGAGGAAAATTCGATGAATTTGTGAGAACTTGAACGGCCATAAAATTCAATAAATATTTAAAAAAATAAATAGAACTTAACATTAAAAATAATAAAATGGTTGTTATACGCTTGACCTCCTTTAACTCACTTTTGACCTTTTTTGTGGATAAGAAAATGATTTACTTTTTCTCCTTTTATACTTCCTCCGTTTTTAAACAAGCTCGTCAATTCATTTTTACATTTTTCGATGCATAACTTTGATTATTAATATATGTAACTTTTTATTAGTAAAAAAATAAAAACATAAGATTTTGAAAATTTAAAATGATACAAATTTAACAATGTTTTTACAAAAAAATTATTAACACATTAATAAATAAAAACATCATCAAATTAAATAGATTAGTAGAACATGTGAATAATATAAAATTAAATATAATGCGGTACCTATTATATACTTATTTAAGTATATAATAGGATTCTCAACTTCTACGGGTATTTCTAAAAAAAAAACTATCCAAATTTACTACTCCCTAATTCAATACATATAAATATATAATAACACCAACGGGGCATTGCCCAGGGTATTACACTAGTACAAGGAAAGGAACGGTGTGTGCTGATGGAATCGAAGAAAGGGGTGGCGGTGCGGGTGAATTGGTCAGATCTGGGCACCGATCTATGGTCGATAATTGCGACGCGAATCAATTGCCTGCAAGCTTTTGTCACCTTTGGCGCGGTGTGTAAGGATTGGCGATCTATAGCAAGCAAGGAGAATTGGAACCGATCAGCCAAAGTTCCATGGCTTCTAGTTGCAGAAAGAGTAGTAAAAAGCAGTGGCGGCAGCAGCACTAGAACCTCTGACTTTACTATAAAACACAGTAACGGCGGCGGCAACACGGTTCGTGAGTTCGCCGACCTTTCGGGAAACAGGATCTACAGGATCAACTTACCCATCGATAACATTCTCGAGAATCCAGTAGCTCCCGTTTCTCCCTTCAGGGAAAACAGATATCACCTTTCTTCAAAAGGATGGTTCTTAATCTTCGAAGGTTGTGTAAGTCAGCTCACTCTTCTGAACCCCTTTTCTCTTCAAAAAGTTGTTCTGCCACGTCCTTTTAGTCCTCCACCTGTTGGTATCCGGCCACAAGTCGTTGGGTTCGCCTTATCTGCTAGCCCTGGTCTCTGTTAAATGTCCCACACCGGAAAATTGAGAAGCACTAGAGTGCTATATTAAGCTTCGGGCTACTCCTCCTATCAGGTTGACCTTTTAGGATGGAACCCCGGATCTTAACATGGTATCAGAGCCAAATCGATCCATGGTGTGGGGCCCCTTATGAAAAATGACGACACGACGAAAAAAAATGACGAACCGATGAAAAAATGAATGACGACACGATCCAGACGAAGTGTCTGGTCGTGAGGAGGGGTGTTAAATGTCCCACACCGGAAAATTGAGAAGCACTAGAGTGCTATATTAAGCTTCGGGCTACTCCTCCTATCAGGTTGACCTTTTAGGATGGAACCCCGGATCTTAACAGTCTCACATCAGACTTTGTAGTGATGATTATGTATGTGTCCCAACCTATGAGGGGGAGATTAGCCTTTTTCAGAAACGAAGACCAGGAATGGACTGATGTTGGCGGCCCTGGTTTTACAACCAGGGCCAACATGACATACCACAATGGTCGATTTTATGCTATATATCCTCGTAATGATGCATTTGCGTTCCTAGTTTTTGAGATTGAAATTAGTAAAGGAGGAGCAGCTTCCTTTTCTACACGGACTAGGTCATTCAAATATGACCACTATAGCATGTGCGTTTTTTTTTGGATGGTTGGATCATCTCAAGGGAGGCTTATGCTTGTTTGCTGGAGTAGGGAACGTGAATATGAGAGTAGTACAAATGAGTTCCCTGGCTTCATTGATTTGGATGTTCCTGACGAGAGCCCTCCGTTTTTTGAAGGTTCCAAGTCTGTGTTTGTTGTTGAAGAGATTGAGTTTGAGAGTGGAAAAAGCAAAAAGGTGAACAACTTTATGGAAGACCAAGCTTTGTTTTTGGGGAAACATTCGTCTTCCTTTGTTCGTGTGTGCAATCAATCAATATTCAAACCCAATCATATATATTTCACGTTATTCGATGACGATGAGGATAGTTTTTGCTGCCGCGTTGGTCTTTACAACCTCGACCGCAGGACTAGTGAGCAAATGCCCAATACTTCACTTTACGTCGACTGGATTGAACCAAGCTTTTGATTGCCTACTTTGATTTAAGTGGGATTTGTGCAGAGAAGAAAGGAATAAGGAGAATCACAAATTCCTTGACAAAGTTTTTGTGACAATCAATGGGATGGAGGTAGTATATACTACCTCTGTTCTTAAATAAATGCAACACTTTGAATTTTACACTATTCACATGTTCTACTTTGACTACATTTTATTTATTAATGTATTAATATTTTTTTATGAAAAAAATATTTTTAAATTCACCTCATTGTAAATTTTCAAAATCTATTTTTTTAAACTTTTTTACTAATACAAAATTATATATATTAATGGTCAAAGTTGTGTCTCGGCAAGTGTGAAATGTTGACTGTTGCATTTATTTAAGAACGGAGGAAGTATTTTCTTAGCTCGTGTGTACTGCAACATTTAATTATGTTCAGGTCTGTTTCTTTTTCCCTAGTTTGCAACCGGTATGCTGTTTTATGGTCAGACATGTTTGGTTTTGATACCATGTCAAGTTTTCCATTTCTTGTATCTGTATTTTTGTGTCAGAAGAATAATAAAAAGGACATTTATTTAAGAAAAGAGACCACCCCCAACCCCACCCAAAAAAAACCATATAAGGGGAGTGAGATGTGAAATTTCACATTTTCACTACTACGTATTTGTTATCCAGTGTGGCCTTTTGGAATCTTCCGCTCTACCTTGTTAGAGTTTGCGTTTTGAGATGTTTGGGGGTTTGACAAAGGGGTAGACCTATGTTATGACTATGATGGGTTGGTGCTCACATTAATCTATTTTTTCCTTAAATTTTTAGTGCATTTTTTCCATTTAGTTTATCTACTACTACCTCCGTCCCTTTTATATTGGGACAGAAGACGGTGACACAAGAACGCTGTTTCTTTCGAAATATATCCAAGTCTCATCTTACGCTTTTTGACCGAGACTCTCATTCCCTTTTTCGCAAAGTAAGAGGTCTAGTTATATTAATTTTTCACCTTTCGGATTTTCACTAGACATTACCTCATTCTAATCTCGGCCTCACCAAAGAAAAATAGCAATTAAAGTTCATTTATTCAAAGTATCAAATTCCTAAAAAGTGACTGCTCTTACCCTTATTTGGGGCATAGGATTAGTGCCAAAAATGGCTCCTACACAAATTCCCTAAACTTAGCAAATTAATCCCCTAGTTCCCTAAACATCAAGACTAAGTCATAAATATTCACGAGTAAGGAAACACGGGCCATTTGGCTATGGAACTCAATTAATTGGGGCAAACAACGAACGGTCGGGCTCAAAATGACTTCTCCTAAAGGAACTTATTCAGGTCAATAGGAAAATGGTTTTTTTTTTTTTTTTTTTTTTTTTTTTTTTTTTTTTTTTAACCCAGTGGCAAACCATCACAGGATGGGGTAAGGGCTGGGGAACACCTTACCATTTATTAAGGCTTAGAGGGAGCTAGAGACACGGTAGGAGGACTAGACCAAAGCCTACCCGGAAAAGAAATCTATATAATATAAGGAAAAGCAATAACATCGAATTTGAGAATATTGCTGAATTTTTTGGATTGTACGTCAACTCCCATGCTAATTTCTTTCGCAGCGCAGTTGACCTTTTCGTTAACAAGACTGATCGTGATGTGGTTTTGATGCAAAATCCTTCTAATGCAAGAGATGATGAAAATTTGATCCCAATTTTGCACACAATGAAGATTAATGGCTTGGAAGACTTGGGCATTATCTATTTGGATGTTGGAGTAGTAGATCCTCCTGTCCCTGCAGAAAATGAGAAAGTCGTAGTATGCCTCTATGAAAGCCCTCACAGTGGAGGAGGAAAAAAGGTTGCTTTGGTGGTGAAAGATCATAACACCATTGTGGTTCCTTATCAAAAATCCGAAACTATGTGAGAGCCCATTTTTGGTGTGGCCAATGTTAAGGGTTCTATGGTTATGCATTGGAGGATTCCAGGACACCACTTGGGGTCTACTTTTAGGGGCCTTATTAGGTCTTTTAGTGTCCTGGATGGAAAATGTCTCCCGCCGAATGTTGTAAATGGCCTCAGAGTAGTTAGGGGAGGAATCATCATAAAGGGTGCTGTTTCTCAGCTTCCAAAGGTTCCAAAGAATGACAATATAGGTTATAAAGGATTTATGATGGGTCCAATTAAGTATGTTGTCTATTAAGTTGCCATCCAACCGATGACTCTTAATATTAAAGTAACTCCAGATTGGAGTGTGAGATGGGCAACTCAAAAAGAAATGGTTAATAGAGTCATGGTGGTTGCAATGAGGACACTTAAAAGGCCCATAAAACCCCATTTTCTGGAGCGAGTCAGCACACACAATAAGATTGTTAGTGACCCGCCAAAGGAAGAAAGAAATCTTCTTTGGAATCGGGTTCTTCCACAAAAGATCAAGATTTTTGATCTTGGGCCTTTTCTTCCTTATCTCATCATAGGCCGTCTTAAAGGAGAAATCACCATTAGGGGCGCGGGTCCAGTGAGTAGTGTCAGGTGTCTCTTCAAAGGAAGGACTGTTGTTAATAAGGGCCGTGCTAACGTGGTGAGGTAAGTCACCGACATGACTGTGAATATTCTCATAGGCCTCTCTAATAGTGATGGGATCATGGGGCTCATGGGACAGTCTGTAGAGAGGCCCAAAAGGACTCCAATTGGAATCCCAGAAGAGGCTGCATCCGTTATTGACCTGAATTCTAGTGTTGGCACTATATAAATTATACACAGAGACCATTGGAGGCCAGAAAACAGAAAGATTATAAGAACGTAAGGAATTGAAAATAATAGCCCAAATGCTGTTTCCATGGTCTTTTTTCCACCAGAGTTTCAAATAGAAGCTGTCCTGGATGTCCTGCAACCTGCGAAAACCCAAACCGTTCTCATTAAAGGGGTATGAGCAGTTAGCCCAAGACCTCCAACTAAAAGTGCTTGAGGAGTTAGGATCATTTTGCCAAAGGAATTTAATGCAGCGTTTTTCAATGTCTTTAAGGACCCCTTTGGGGACCTTAGAGGAGGCCATAGTATAGAGGGGGAAGGTGGCCAGAACATGTTTGATCAATATTATTTTGCCGGCTTGGGAGAGAACTTTGTTCTTCCAGCTATTAAGGCGTTGATCAATCCTAATCACATGATGTGAGAAGTAGATTTTTTTAGCTCTTCCTAGATAGATGTTAACCCCCAGATACATGAAAGGGAAATTTCCTTTATTCATTTTAGAGACATGTTTAATCATATTAATAGTCCTAGCAGGGGTCTTGGGACCCGTAAAGAAAGAGCTTTTATCAGAATTAATTTTCTGACCAGACAACAGTTCATAATGGTTGAGAAGCTTAAAAAGTTTTTGCAAAGTATGTTTACTGCCATTAGAGAAAATTATCAAGTCATCAGCATAAGCTAAATGAGAGATAACAGGAAGACCAATGTGCGAGTAATAAGGTTTACCTCCACCGTGAGTGTAAAGATGGTTGAGATTCCTGGTGAGGACTTCAGAAACAATTATAAAGAGCATAGGAGAAAGCGGATCACCTTGTTTGACCCCGCGGGTGGGATTGAAGAAACCGTGAGGGACTCCATTTATAAGAATAGAAAACCAAGTCCCTTTTAAGTTGTTGAGGATAAGATTAATGAAAATAGGGTGAAAACCAATTTTTTCCAAAACAATCTTTAGAAAGCTCCAAGAAATGCGGTCAAAAGCTTTAGTCATGTCTATTTTGAAATACACATTGTGACCCGGAACTTTTTTAGAAAGACATTGGGTGAGTTCTTTCATAGCCAGAATGTTGTCGGATATTTCTTTCCCTTTTTGAAAGGCACTCTGGTTAGGGGAAATAATTTTGCCTAGAAGAGGGGTGAGCCTGATAGTAAGAATTTTGGTAAAGATTTTATTAATAAAATTACTTAGACTAATCGGTCTAAATTTTTGGAAAGTGTCAGGTTTAAAATCCTTAGGGATAAGGGTAATGAAAGTGTGACCTATACTTTTGGGAATGGGAACTCCGCAAAGGAACTCTCTGGTGGCATTTAAGAGGTCATGTTTGATAATATCAAAGCAATCATGGTAGAAACAACCATTAAACCCATCGGGACCAGAGGTGCTATTTTTATTAAGGTCAAACACAGCAGTTTTAAGATCAGTGAGGGTGATAGGACCAAGAAGGGACTGGTTGTCCTCCTCAGTAATACTAGTGGGAAGATGGTGAAGAATGGTGTTAAGGTCAGTTGTCTGGGGTGCCTTTTCCTGAGTAAAAAGAGGCCTAAAGAAGTCCACAGCAGCTTGGCCAATAAGGGATTGATCTTCTATCCATTGACCCTCAGAGTCTTTAATCTTATGAATGGAGAGTTTGGCATGTTTAGATTTGACATAATTGTGAAAGAATTTGGAGTTGGTGTCACCGTCTTTCAACCAGTGAACTCTGGCTTTTTGTTTTAGAAAAGTAAAGATGTCTTTTTGCTTAAGAATAAATTCAGCCTGAGCTTTTTTAAAAGCGTTTTGATTATCCAGATTATCTAAAGAAATAAGATTCATCTCTTTTAGGGAAAGATCTTCTTCAGCTTTAGTTAGGTTTTGAAAAATGTTGCCAAAAGTATTCTGGTTCCAGACCTTTAAAACCTTCTTAAGCCTTTTCAGTTTTTGAGAAAAAAGATACATGCCATATCCATCACAAGATTGAGACCAAGAGTCTTTAATAATTGAAGAATAATCTTTATGATAGGCCCACATATTCTGGTATCTAAAAGCTGTGGGGTGGGGGAGGGAAGTTTGAGGTTTAATTTGAAATAGGAGAGGAGTATGGTCTGAAGATATAAAGGACAGTTTAGTGCAAGTAATAATTTTACCACTTTGGAAGAGATGTTGGTTAATAAGGACCCTATCCAGTTTTTTAAAAACAATTCCACCAGAGCGCTTTCCCATCCAAGTGAAATTCCCCCCAACAAGAGGAACATCAAAGAGATCATTATTGTTAATAAAAGAATTGAAATCAAAAATGGAAGTGGGATTAGGGGTAGATTTACCTTTGTACTCAGCAATATCTCTTATCGTATTGAAATCACCCCCCAGAAACCAAGGGTGATTACCAGTAGAGTTGTGAAAAGTAGTTAGATCATCCCAGAGAGATAATCTATTCATTCTGTCACAGCTAGCATAGATAAAGGTAAGATAAATCACAGAATTAAGGTTAGATTGATCAGCTTTACAGTTAATACATTGATTAGTTTCAGAAAGGACAGTAAGATTAATGTTGTTGTCCCAGAAAAGCCAGATTTTATTAGAGGAATGGCAGTGATGATTGTGAAGTTGAATGGTATTTTGAAGGGTGGTAATCTGGTCAGGATGCCCCATCGGTTCAAGGATGGCAATGATGTTGGGGGAGTGGGAATTATTAAGAGTGGAGAGTCTGTTTTGGGTATCTTTGTTAGAGATCCCTTGGGCATTCCATATGATAGCTTTAATAATTAGAAACTTGGGGGGGTAGTAGAGTCTATGATGTTTTTGGATGTTGAGCTCCTAGTGGTTCTTTTGGAAGTGTGTGGTGTCTGCAATTGGGCCTTTTGGGTTAAAGTTAAGGGGG